TTTACGTCAGGAGACATCTTGGCCCTTTCTCATTTCACTAATTCCCCTCCTCGACTCCTATCCTCGACTCCTATCCTCGAGACTTAGTCCCGCCCACAGGAGATGCAAGCGGAGGAGCCGAGGAGGGGAACCGAGGAGAGAGGAACCGAGGAGAGAGGAGGGGAACCGAGGAGAGAGGAGGGGAGCCGAGGAGAGAGGAGGGGAAGCAGCAGGCGGTTAGAGAAATGAGAACTCCTCTCCTCTGAGCGGTCATTTTAAAGAGACGTCCATTAATGATGACAGGAGGCAGAGCAGCCCTCTGTCTGATGGGCAGATGTGTTCATGACCACTTATATATTTACTTTGATTCATTCACAGTGCGGTATAATGAGACAATAACAGGCTACACACACACACACACACACATATGTATATATTTATATAAATATATACAATTTCAGAATCAAACAGTTACAGAGCACTCTCATAATAACGTAACACTATCAGAGACTGGATATATCGGAGGACCGAGGAGTCGAGGAGTCGAGGAGTCGAGGAGTCGAGGAGTCGAGGAGGGGGGAATTGATGAAATGAGAAAGGGCCCTTGTTTACGGGCGTCATGTCCTCGTTGATATATCTTATAAACAATATCAGAGTCACGGTACTCATACTATATCTTTCTAGAAACACCACCCCTGTTTATATGAAATGTCAATGATTATTAAAAACATGGATTTTGATGCACTTTTGAAAAAACAGACAACATGTCTTTGTCTCAAAAGTGAGAGAATGTCTCAATCTGGTGGAAAATATAAAAATAAATCAATGTTGGAGCCAAGGCTCTAGATCAGTGCTTCTCTGCTGCGGCTTTCACACCAGCGCTTTTCCCTTTCTAGCTCCTAGCGAGAGCTTTTCTGGTTCAGCTCCGGTTTCCCTTTTCAGCTCCCGCTCTGTTCACACCGCCCAGCTGCCGCTGCTGCGTCATGACGTCACCGTTTACATCGCTGATTTTCTCCCACAACAACAACGGGCCGGGGACTGCGTCGGGTCGATGATCGTGTTGCTTTTAATCATACGAAGCCAGATTAATTAAATAACGACTTCTCCAACCTTATACTTTTCTCCAGAGTGCCGTGGTTCATTGTTTATTAATGTGTTTCATTTACCGACCGCTGCAGTGCTGGCTGCTCTTCCACGGGAGTTTATTCTCCCGTTAGCTCCGGGTTAGCTCACACGGCTCTAAAGTATTCACTGTCTGACTGTCACACAAGCAGCTGATACATATCCCCAGTTCCCCTTAAGTGGGGAGGTGGGTTTAGTTTCCTGCACGCCTCGACGTAAGAGAGACGTAAGCGACGCCGCCTCTTAGCTCCGGAGTCTTGCTTCTAGACCGACAATTTTTTGGAGCTGGAAGTGAACCGGATTCCGGAGCTAAGAGGCGGCGCCGCTGCGGTGTGAACAGGAAAAAACTGTACTTTTCAGCCTCTAGCTCCGAGCCGGCGCTGAAAACGCGTTGGTGTGAAAGGGGCAAAAGAGTGGTCCGCGGACCACTGGTGGTCCGTGAGCGCCCCCTAGTGGTCCGTGAGTATATTGGTAAAATTTCACATTTTAAATAAATAAATACATTTAAGTCTCCCGCACTCTCGCGGGAATATCTCCGCAATGGAGCGTGCTTAAGTTTCACTTTTGATTGCATGATACAGCCCAGCGCAACACCTACGTCACACATGTTGCCACTTCTTTACCATTTTCAGGCGATTTGTAATCTGTTCTAGAAAAACGATGTGTTTTGGGATATTTGTGGAGTTAGGTGGTCCGTGAGTGTTTTTTTATCCTTGGTATGAAAAAGTTTGAGAAACACTGCTCTAGATGTACAGCTGATATAATAGGAATAGATAATAGCTTTCAATGGGGATACACACTTTATTACTACACACTGATTCCAGAGGCTGTTGTTAAATGTTATATCCTTGCCAAAAGGAAAGCAAATATTTACAAAAACAGCTCAAATAATATAATGTTTGGGGATTCAGAGCCTGGAGGGACACATGTGTTTGAGAGGTGACTAACCCCGTCCGTGTGGGACCTCCGGGTGTTGAAATCAAACTAACCAGTCACCACATAACAGAACAGGAGCCATGTTTTCCTCCTGAGCCTCCTTCATCTTTCTAACCACAACAACAACACGGTGACTGATGTGTTTCTGCTCCAGTTTAACGATCCGCCTAACAGCCACAAAATGTACATTTCCTGGAGAAGAGACTGCTCCAGGGAAACATCCCCAACCTGCAGCCATCACATGAAAAAGATCATAATGCTTCAGCTTCAGTGAAGCATAATTCAATCAGAGCGAAACAGGAAGTCATCTCTGGTTTCTTCCGCTGGGATTTGGGAGCTCTTGTTTGTGAATTTTCCAGTTTTTGCTCTAAATATCTGGACGGTAGTGGGCTGCTCGTCAAACACCAGATATATTACAAAAGCTCTTCCACTGTGTCATTCCTCTCACTGTGGAACCGTTAAATGAGATGTAGGCGCAGAGGATGGCGTATTATAACGTTCTCAACATTCAGCGTCAAAATGCAAAAAACAAGTCCTCCTGATTTGTTCTGATTGTTCTGATGTTTAAAGTTTGATTTGAATCTTAACATATATATTAATATATAGTATAATATTTTGACTAATGTCATTTATCATTTATTCTCAACATTCAGATGTACACGCTATGTAGCATTTTTATTCTCGACATCCTTCTTGACAAGTTTGACTTCTTTCGACATATTTATTTGAATACCATCATCAACTCTATTCTCAACATCAACTCTATTCTCATCATTGACTTTATTTTTGACATGGACTTTATTTTTAACATTGACTTTATTTTCGACATTGACTTTATTTTTAACATTGACTTTATTTTTAACATTGACTTTATTTTTGACATGGACTTTATTTTCGACATTGACTTTATTTTTAACATTGACTTTATTTTTAACATTGACTTTATTTTTAACATGGACTTTATTTTCGACATTGACTTTATTTTTAACATTGACTTTATTTTTAACATTGACTTTATTCTCGACATTGATTTTATTTTTAACATTGACTTTATTTTTAACATTGACTTTATTTTTAACATTGACTTTATTCTCGACATTGACTTTATTTTCGACATTGACTTTATTTTTTGACATTGACTTTATTCTCGACATTGACTTTATTTTTAACATTGACTTTATTTTCGACATTGACTTTATTTTTGACATGGACTTTATTTTCGACATTGACTTTATTTTCGACATTGACTTTATTCTCGACATTGACTTTATTCTCGACATTGACTTTATTTTCGACATGGACTTTATTAATTGAAAAAAATGTCCAAATTGGGATTAAGTACTTCTTATCTTATTCTCGACATTGATTTTATTTTTTAACATTGACTTTATTCTCAACATTGACTTTATTCTCAACATTGACTTTATTCTCGACATTGATTTTATTTTTAACATTGACTTTATTTTTAACATTGACTTTATTTTTAACATTGACTTTATTCTCGACATTGACTTTATTTTCGACATTGACTTTATTTTTTGACATTGACTTTATTTTTGACATTGACTTTATTTTTTGACATTGACTTTATTCTCGACATTGACTTTATTTTCGACATTGACTTTATTTTCGACATTGACTTTATTTTTAACATTGACTTTATTTTCGACATTGACTTTATTTTTGACATTGACTTTATTTTCGACATTGACTTTATTTTCGACATTGACTTTATTTTTAACATTGACTTTATTTTCGACATTGACTTTATTTTTAACATTGACTTTATTTTCGACATTGACTTTATTTTCGACATTGACTTTATTTTTAACATTGACTTTATTCTCGACATTGACTTTATTCTCGACATTGACTTTATTTTCGACATGGACTTTATTAATTGAAAAAATGTCCAAATTGGGATTAAGTACTTCTCATCTTATTCTCGACATTGACTTTATTTTCGACATTGACTTTATTTTCGACATTGATTTTATTTGCGACATAGCCATTATTCATTAGGATTGAAATGAAGCTCAGCGCAAGTTCTTTCAGGAAGACTGGGTATATATTCATTCACTCCACAGCTGCTGATAATCAGCTCATCACAGGCTTTCTCTTTAACCTATTACATTTCACCTCATTCTCCAGCAGCCAATCAGTGTGCTGCAGCCAAACTTTAAAATGGTTCTCCTTTCTCCTGCAGTCAGCTGTGATTTCAGGTCTTCATGCTGCCGCCCGCCTCCTCCCCATCCGCCTCCTCCCCATCCACCTCCTCCCCATCCACCTCCTCCCCCCCCACCTCCTTTCATCACATCCAGTGCCAGGAGAGCTAATCCAAAGACCTCATCACACCTCCTCTTCATCCCATCTCCTCATCAAATCCAGATCTTCATCATCATCACCAGTGTCTAGACCCCGGGGGGTTCCCTATATGCTCACGGCTGCATTTCCCCTTTAGATATACCATTTCAGGATCGGGGTCTAATCGCCAAAGACTTAACATTTATCACATGGCATGGGTCAATAAATGTTCTTTAAACAAAATGAAGTCTCTCCTGATTGAACTGTGTTCCCGACATTGATTTGAATCCATTGACATTATTCTCTAGATTTTTACTTTATTCTCGACATTGAGTTTATTTTATTGATTTCACTCTTTTTATTTTTTTATACATTTTTTTTATTTTTATTGACTTTCTTCCTGACCTTTTTCATTTTTTTTGTCAACATTTACACTTTTAACATAAAAAGTTCCTCTGCGTTTTTCCCTTCACTTTTTTTTGTTCATTTCAGGTGTTATTATTGACATTGACTTCTTACTTGACATTTATTCTCTCTTATCACTATTGACTTTTTTTTTACATTGAAATTATTTTTAAAATGTTTTAAGACGCGAAACATAATTTATAATTTCACATTTTAGTGCAAAAATATATTTTAATAATAAAAAACCCTCTCACCTGGCAGGAGCAGCAGAAGGAGAAAGTGCTGATAATCCATGAGTGTGTTTGAAAGAAAATAGTGTGTGTGTGAGAGAGTGTGTGTGAGAGAGAGTGTGTGAGTGTGTGAGAGAGAGGTTTGATTCTGTACTCTGCTGATGTGTGAAGGAGAGAGAGTCGGAGAAAGAGGAGGAGCAAAGTGAACACACCTCCTCACACACACACACACACACACACACACACACACACACACACCTCACACACACACACACACACACACACACACACACACACACACACACACACACACACACACACACACACACACACACACACACACACATCTCTCTGTCTTTAACTTTCCCAACAGAAGCTTTAAGGTCTACATTTTTTGCACAAACAGGAAATGCCTCAATCAGTGACTGAAAACCCTGGAGAGAAATAACTGATATACACCTGAACATCAGCAGGAGAGGACTCTTTAAAGTAGAGACTCTACATACTGATATACACCTGAACATCAGCAGGAGAGGACTCTTTAAAGTAGAGACACTACATACTGATATACACCTGAACATCAGCAGGAGAGGACTCTTTAAAGTAGAGACACTACATACTGATATACACCTGAACATCAGCAGGAGAGGACTCTTTAAAGTAGAGACACTACATACTGATATACACCTGAACATCAGCAGGAGAGGACTCTTTAAAGTAGAGACACTACATACTGATATACACCTGAACATCAGCAGGAGAGGACTCTTTAAAGTAGAGACACTACATACTGATATACACCTGAACATCAGCAGGAGAGGACTCTTTAAAGTAGAGACACTACATACTGATATACACCTGAACATCAGGAGGAGAGGACTCTTTAAAGTAGAGACACTACATACTGATATACACCTGAACATCAGCAGGAGAGGACTCTTTAAAGTAGAGACACTACATACTGATATACACCTGAACATCAGCAGGAGAGGACTCTTTAAAGTAGAGACACTACATACTGATATACACCTGAACATCAGCAGGAGAGGACTCTTTAAAGTAGAGACACTACATACTGATATACACCTGAACATCAGCAGGAGAGGACTCTTTAAAGTAGAGACACTACATACTGATATACACCTGAACATCAGCAGGAGAGGACTCTTTAAAGTAGAGACACTACATACTGATATACACCTGAACATCAGGAGGAGAGGACTCTTTAAAGTAGAGACACTACATACTGATATACACCTGAACATCAGCAGGAGAGGACTCTTTAAAGTAGAGACACTACATACTGATATACACCTGAACATCAGCAAGGAGAGGACTCTTTAAAGTAGAGACACTACATACTGATATACACCTGAACATCAGCAGGAGAGGGACTCTTTAAAGTAGAGACACTACATACTGATATACACCTGAACATCAGCAGGAGAGGACTCTTTAAGTAGAGACACTACATACTGATATACACCTGAACATCAGCAGGAGAGGACTCTTAAGTAGAGACACTACATACTAATATACACCTGAACATCAGCAGGAGAGGACTCTTTAAAGTAGAGACACTACATACTGATATACACCTGAACATCAGCAGGAGAGGACTCTTTAAAGTAGATACACTACATACTGATAAACACCTGAACATCAGGAGGAGAGGACTCTTTAAAGTAGAGACACTACATATTGATATACACCTGAACATCAGCAGGAGAGGACTCTTTAAAGTAGAGACACTACATACTGATATACACCTGAACATCAGCAGGAGAGGACTCTTTAAAGTAGAGACACTACATACTGATACACACCTGAACATCAGCAGGAGAGGACTCTTTAAAGTAGAGACACTACATACTGATATACACCTGAACATCAGGAGGAGAGGACTCTTTAAAGTAGAGACACTACATACTGATATACACCTGAACATCAGCAGGAGAGGACTCTTTAAAGTAGAGACACTAGATACTGATATACACCTGAACATCAGCAGGAGAGGACTCTTTAAAGTAGATACACTACATACTGATATACACCTGAACATCAGCAGGAGAGGACTCTTTAAAGTAGAGACACTAGATACTGATATACACCTGAATATCAGCAGGAGAGGACTCTTTAAAGTAGAGACACTAGATACTGATATACACCTGAACATCAGCAGGAGAGGACTCTTTAAAGTAGAGACACTAGATACTGATATACACCTGAACATCAGCAGGAGAGGGACTCTTTAAAGTAGAGACACTACATACTGATATACACCTGAACATCAGCAGGAGAGGACTCTTTAAAGTAGAGACACTAGATACTGATATACACCTGAACATCAGCAGGAGAGGACTCTTTAAAGTAGAGACACTAGATACTGATATACACCTGAACATCAGCAGGAGAGGACTCTTTAAAGTAGATACACTACATACTGATATACACCTGAACATCAGGAGGAGAGGACTCTTTAAAGTAGAGACACTAGATACTGATATACACCTGAACATCAGCAGGAGAGGACTCTTTAAAGTAGAGACACTAGATACTGATATACACCTGACCATCAGCAGGAGAGGACTCTTTAAAGTAGAGACACTACATACTGATATACACCTGAACATCAGCAGGAGAGGACTCTTTAAAGTAGAGACACTAGATACTGATATACACCTGAACATCAGCAGGAGAGGACTCTTTAAAGTAGAGACACTAGATACTGATATACACCTGAACATCAGCAGGAGAGGACTCTTTAAAGTAGATACACTACATACTGATATACACCTGAACATCAGGCAGGAGAGGACTCTTTAAAGTAGAGACACTACATACTGATATACACCTGAACATCAGCAGGAGAGGACTCTTTAAAGTAGAGACACTACATACTGATATACACCTGAACATCAGCAGGAGAGGACTCTTTAAAGTAGAGACACTACATACTGATATACACTGAACATCAGCAGGAGAGGACTCTTTAAAGTAGATACACTACATACTGATATAACACCTGAACATCAGGAGGAGAGGACTCTTTAAAGTAGAGACACTACATACTGATATACACCTGAACATCAGCAGGAGAGGACTCTTTAAAGTAGAGACACTAGATACTGATATACACCTGAACATCAGGAGGAGAGGACTCTTTAAAGTAGAGACACTACATACTGATATACACCTGAACATCAGCAGGAGAGGACTCTTTAAAGTAGAGACACTACATACTGATACACACCTGAACATCAGCAGGAGAGGACTCTTTAAAGTAGAGACACTACATACTGATATACACCTGAACATCAGCAGGAGAGGACTCTTTAAAGTAGAGACACTAGATACTGATATACACCTGAACATCAGCAGGAGAGGACTCTTTAAAGTAGATACATTACATACTGATATACACCTGAACATCAGCAGGAGAGGACTCTTTAAAGTAGAGACACTAGATACTGATATACACCTGAACATCAGCAGGAGAGGACTCTTTAAAGTATAGAGACACTAGATACTGATATACACCTGAACATCAGCAGGAGAGGACTCTTTAAAAAGTAGAGACACTAGATACTGATATACACCTGAACATCAGCAGGAGAGGACTCTTTAAGTAGAGACACTACATACTGATATACACCTGAACATCACAGGAGAGGACTCTTTAAGTAAGAGACACTACATACTGATATACACCTGAACATCAGACAGGAGAAGGACTCTTTAAAGTAGAGAACACTACATACTGATATACACCTGACATCAGCAGGAGAGGGACTCTTTAAAGTAGATACACTACATACTGATATACAACCTGAACATCAGCAGGAGAGGACTCTTTAAAGTAGAGGACACTACATACTGATACACACCTGAACATCAGCAGGAGAGGACTCTTTATAAAGTAGAGACACTACATACTGATATAACACCTGAACATCAGGAAGGAGAGGACTCTTAAAAGTAGAGACACTACATACTGATATACACCGAACATCAGCAGGAGAGGACTCATTTAAAAGTAGAGACACTAGTACTGATATACACCTGAACATCAGCAGGAGAGGACTCTTTAAAGTAGATACATTACATACTGATATACACCTGAACATCAGCAGGAGAGGACTCTTTAAAGTAGAGACACTAGATACTGATATACACCTCAACATCAGCAGGAGAGGACTCTTTAAAGTAGAGACACTAGATACTGATATACACCTGAACATCAGCAGGAGAGGACTATTTAAAAGTAGAGACACTACATACTGATAATACACCTGAACATCAGCAGGAGAGGACTCTTTAAAGTAGAGACACTAGATACTGATATACAACCTGAACATCAGCAGAGAGGACTCTTTAAAGTAGAGACAAACCTAGACACTGATATACACCTGAACATCAGCAGGAGAGGACTCTTTAAAGTAGATACACTACATACTGATATACACCTGAACATCAGCAGGAGAGGACTCTTTAAAGTAGAGACACTACATACGGATATACACCTGCACATCAGCAGGAGAGGACTCTTTAAAAGTAGAGACACTACATACTGATATACACCTGAACATCAGCAGGAGAGGACTCTTTAAAGTAGAGACACTACATACTGATATACACCTGAACATCAGCAGAGAGGACTCTTTAAAGTAGATACACTACATACTGATATACACCTGAACATCAGGAGAGGACTCTTTAAAGTAGAGACACTACATACTGATATACACCTGAACATCAGCAGGAAGGACTCTTTAAAGTAGAGACACTACATACTGATACAACACTGAACATCAGCAGGGAGGACTCTTTAAAGTAGAGACACTACATACTGATATACACCTGAACATCAGGAGGAGAGGACTCTTAAAGTAGAGACACTACATACTGATATACACCTGAACATCAGCAGGAGAGGACTCTTTAAAGTAGAGACAACTAGATACTGATACACCTGAACATCAGCAGGAGAGGACTCTTTAAGTAGATACACTACATACTGATATACACACTGAACATCAGCAGAGAGGACTCTTTAAAGTAGAGACACTACATACTGATATACACCTGAACATCAGCAGGAGAGGA